TAGATTCCATTGTACGGCAACAATCCAAATGACCCAGATTTTTCAATATTGAACAATTCTGTCATTTGTTCAGTGAGAGTCCTCTCGAGCCAAATCTGTCTACCGAACAAATGCACAGTATGGACTCAGATGAGATCATCTCCTCGTTTGTAACTTCAAGTGCATTTAGAACTTAATTCCTGAATTGAACTTCTTCCACACCATTGATTCTTGCTTTGTCCCTCTTTTTCATCTGGGATCAGTCACCCAGCAAGAGGTGAGGCAGATCTCTAAGGCCAGGTATGGTGAACTGTACAGCGAATTTTATAACTTGAGACTCAGTATCACTATTCTAAAAAATGGGGATACACACACGCTCATCCTCCTTTGCTCAGAGGATGGTTTTAAAGACCAAATGGGATCGTGGAAGTGAAAGAATTTTGTAAACTACGAACTGTTATGCGAGATAGCTCAACAGGTAATTATTGAGCAATTTCTGTGTATCAATACCATGAAGGACCCTGAGGATTTGAAATTGCCAAGGGAAGAGTTCTAAAGAAATTTTTATCATTTTTTCATTAAATCTTAATGTTTTCAGAGGATCAGTACACTTGGGAAGTTGTAAGATACTACCAAGGCTTTGATAGATGAATGATTAAAACAAATAGGAAAATGAAGAAATTAGCTTTCTGTGGAAATCATCTTAAAATAGGACTTATTTAGATCAAAATTCTTAAAAAGGGAGAAAAGGCCAAGGAATTTAATGACAGTTTGTCTGAACATAAAATAAACTCATGATAATTATGCTACAAATGATTATATTGCCACTATCATTTACTTTGCACTTAATAATTGCTAGGCACTACAATATGTAATTTATACACATTGTATTTCATGTCTTGCCACAAATCCAGAAGGTAGGTATTGCAATTCCATTTTATAAAGGATAACCTGAGCTCTGAGAGGCTAAATAACTTGCCTAAAATCATACTGCTGGGAACTATTAGTCTGAATTCAACCCAGATTATCTATTTCTCAAAGAGTGGATGGAGCAGTGTAGTAGAAAGAGCTTCAGAGTTGGAGTTTGGGTAAGGAGAGTGTGGAGAATGCTCCGAGAGATGGAGCTGGTCAGGAGATGCCTAGACTTGCCCAGGGTGACCTGACCTATGAATATTCATAGGTACTCATGAGGCAGACTGGCTCTCAGGTGCCTATCAAGACGTTGGACCATCAATAGCTTGGTGAATCCAGCATTGCAAGAACTCTGACTTTGTGCTCACCAACCTACCTTCTGACAGTAACTTGTTTTCCTGTGTAGATTGCCTCCTGTGAGGGAACTTACAACTTGAGTACATTCTTAATAATCGAACAAAGTTATAGAAGATGGATGTATGGGCCAGAATGCCAGAGTGAGCTAACCCCTTAAGCCCTAGCAACTCTGAGGGCCTTGGATGAAATTAGCCTTCTGCCTCTGCAAAGCTGATGACCAAATGCAGGTCCTTAGGGACTCCACAAAGCTTCAACCCTCTCAGAGTTTGGGCCTGGGCTATTAGCCACTCCTCATCTTTATCTCACACTAAATTCAATAGGGAACCCACTGCAATGAAAGGCTGTGCCCTAAAGCACGTGGATATTGAATTCCCATGCTGTGTCTGGACCTTTTGGCTCATCTTAGGTGTTTGGGAAATTGTGTTGCAGTTAGCAACACCAATGGAATAATCATAATAAAAATTCACACACATGTTTTTCTATGGCTCGTAGTATATCCAGGAGGTCCTAAGATGGTGTTGGTTAGCTTGAAAGAAAGCAATGTTGTGATCATGACCCTGAACATATCCAGCAGGGCACCGATGGAGCACAAGGCAGAGAGAAGGAGCCTGGGATTCAGGTAGACCTGGGTCCCATTTCTGACTTTCTTTCTTATCCACTATATGAAATAGAGAAGGTATGGAGTCTCTCTGAACCTCAGTATCCTCTTCTATAGAGTAAGAATAGGTATACTTACTAAAAAAGAAAGAGAAGCAATCAGTATTTATTGTCCACATATAGCAGGCACTCAAATGGCAATCTATAAGTCATTACTATTTAGAGGACATGATTAAAAGTAAGCTGAATAATCATGATGATATCCCAAAGTATTTGGTCCACAAGGGTAACAAAAATAAACAAAAACCACAAAAAATCCCATAATGCTTTTTTCCACAACTCTGTTTTTCAAGGTTATTTTTCTTTGTTAGGTTACTGATAACTGACCTATTTAACGTGACGTTTCTCAGTCTTATTGATAACCTACTTTGCAAAATCACTAGAAATTTTGGCTCAGTCTGTTAAAAATCTTAAGTCTAATTTAGACTCAGTACTTATGTCTGTTTAATAATTTAACCCCTTCAAACATTCTATCTTTCTCATGCTAGGACATGTCGTCAATAGCCTGGAGGAACTCTCTAGAACTCAGGTCTTGGTAGATCTTAGCAATTGCTTCTGAGGGTGGATATAATTGCTTTATGTAGTGGTATTCACCAAAGCATACTTCTAGATTTAGCTCTGCCACTCACCATGTGACTTTGGTAACAACACTGCATGGCTGCCATTTATCCATTTCCTGAATGTCTCTTCTGTGTCAGACACTGTATGTATATTCGCTCTCATCCTCATAGCAACCCACAAAATGTATTATTCTACCCAGTTTCAAGTTACAAAATGCCAATAGCTAACCAAAGCTCAGAGAGGTTAAGCTACTTACCCAAAGACACATAATTAAGTTACACGCTACGTTTATGTTCAGTTTTGACTGATCTCAAAGCCTCCTCTCTTTCTGTCTCACTATGCTTTCCATCCTCATCAACTTCTCTGAGCCTCACTTTCAACATCTTTTAAATGGCCTAATATTGCCCTGCCTACTTCATTAAGTTATTAAGATCATTAAATGAGAAAATGTGTCTGAAAGCTCTGCAGATTGTACAAAGCTATGCAACTGGGGTATATTACTATTCTCCAATGAGATTATTAAAATAAGATATTCATAAATTTATCTCTATTAATAAATTCCATGATGATTGTGGACATCTTTTAGGGATAAGGCCAGAGCTGATCTGGGGTGAGGAAAGGAGAGTAATGGAGAAAGAGCCACATTTACTGAGTACATACTAAGCGTTAAGTATGTACCATATTTCATTTAATATAAATATCATATTACTGAGGCTAAATAGTTGTCAATACAAGTGTTATGTGATCTTGCTCCATTGTAAAGATGCAGGAATTGAGGACCAGTGGGGATAAAGTAACACGCCTGGTCCAAGCAGCAGAGTTTTGATCCTGACCAACTTGGTCAGATGTTAAATCCTATAGCTTTTCCAAGACAGCACTTGACTCATGGCAAAGTGAGCTAGAAACAGAGTCCCCTGGTGTTAAGGCCAGCACTGGCCAGGTGGTACAGAAAACTATGACCTTCGGTTTTAGAATGGTCTTGTTCCTGGAGTCATCTGAGAGGGCCCTTTGGAGAGAAGAAAGAGGCATATCACTCTTAAGATAGCTGGTGTCAAAGACTACTCCAGGAATGGATTCAAGACGAACTCTATGAAGCTGACAAGGAACGCTGGCCACCATTCCTACCAGTTAGCTCAGGGGCAAATCAGTGTAGTTTTGAGTTACTGACTTTAGTGACTGGACAACCTTGAACATTTACTTGGACCACTCAAGCTCTTCATCTGTAAACAGAGGAAAGTAATGCCTAACTCTCAAGGCTGAATGTAAGGATTAAGTGAGTTAATGCATATAGACTGCCCAGCAAGAGATGGAGTTAAATGGATGCCAGTTGCCCCTCCTGCCTATCCAGGGCAAATTTTATCTTAAGTTTCTCAGAGGATTTCTGAAGCTTTCTCTTTGCTCCGGTAGACCTCCAATTAGCCTGACCTACCATTGTCTTCCTGATTTTTTTTCTTTTTTTAAAGATTGGCCCTGAGCTAACATCTATTGCCACTCCTTTTCTTTTCCTTCTCCTCCCCAAAGGCCCCTAGGACTTAGTTGTATATTTTACTTGTAGGTCCTTTTAGTTCTGCTATGTGGAACGCTGCCTCAGCATAGCTTGATGAGTGGCACCACGTCCACATCCAGGATCCGAACCAGCGAAAGCCTGGTCTGCCGAAACAGAGCGCGTAAACTTAACCACTGGGCCACAGGGCCAGCCCCCCTGATTTTTGAAATAACCATTTCCTGTGGTTTGAGTGGCCCCTGGGAATCCAAAGGAACAGCATCATTGAGAGGCCATTCCACTACATAGACAAAGAGGCTAATCAGGTAAGTAACATCGGCACAAAGTAGTAAAATCAGTATTGGGAAAGTTCAGCCACATCAGTATCTTTCAAAGTATAGAGACTTTGATCACACTTATACTCTCATCTGTCTCACTCCAATTTATTTTCTGTTTGTTCTTTCCAAGAAAAACCTGCAGAGATGCCTCCTGGTGCCCTTAGAGGGTGAGCATTTTATGCCAACTTTACTCACTCTCAGGCTCCTCATCCTGTGAGTGGAAGGACGTTCTGCAAGATTCCAAAGTCACACCAAAGCAGAAAGAAAACCATTTCAAATTAGAAAATTTAAAAAATATATATCCACAGGGGCTGCAGGATTTAACTTCTACATTCAACGGCCTACTTTGAATTGAGGCTGCCTTTCTACGGAGCTGTCCTTATGAAGGTCAGCCAAAGAAGCCAGCAACTGGCCTGGCCTTTGGATTTCAGTAGCAAACAGTCAGGGAGTCCCAGCTTCAGGAAGAGAAGATTGAAAACATTTAGTCTTTTAATTTTTTATGGGTAGGTATCTTGATTCTTTCCTCCAGCAGAATGAAGGGATCTTTAAAAACTGAGTTAAGGGAGCTGGCTTTCTTTATGCTGTTTGATGCTTTACAGAAGGCCCAATAGTCCACGTTAGAAAAACCTTTTTTGCTTGGTATCAGCTCTTTCCTACTGATCATTTAGGACAGTGAGATGACCACTCAGATGGAGCTGGCCTACTTAGTTTACCTGAACAGCGTGGGGACCGCAAAAGGCCCTGTGCTGAGATGTCGGTCTCCTGCATGGGGGGCTGTGGCGGCATCGCGGGCAGCGCCAGGAGCTGGTAATCCGTAAGGCAGCGGGTTGAATTATTCTCAATGCTGAGCAGTGTCTTTTAGCAGAAAGCTCCTCCTAGGTCTGTTTTAGGTTTGGTTTCCTGTGAAATGCAGCCACAGACCTAAGGTGGTATGACCTTGTGCTGGCGGGACTTCCTCTTCGTGAGTTGAAATGCATGCAATAAACGAAGCTGTAAGAGGCTGAGGGCTCCGAACCCAAAGGGAGTGTCCTTAAAGTCACACAGTGTCCTTATGCCACACTTCGCAACTACGAGAACACACTAAAACAGATTGCTGAGCAAGATTCGAGCCTATGGCTTTTGCTAGTCTTGTTTCACATGCATACCAAGCACTTGTGACTTGATGTTGTCAGTGGTTTCCTGAGACCACCCGAGACACATGGACCAAATCCCTCAGGTGTTATGGAGAGAACATGGGATCTGGGATGAGAAACACCTGGATCTTATTCTTGCTATATTAATGATTAGTCATGCGATCTTGGGCAAATTGTAGTTTATTTCTCAACTAGTTTCCATGTCTATTATTGAGGGGTAATAACATTTATAGAGATATTCCAAAGAGTGAAAAAAGAATGTAAATAAAGACGTGTAGCAAGGTTTGGGGCACGCATTAGGGGCTCAGTACATTTTAATTTCTCTCCGCCTCAACCCTGGTTCATTTAAGCTGGCAGCAAGTCCTCGCAAGTGTCTGCTGTCCTCTTCAGGCACTCGCCACTTGACACTCCTAGTTTTATGAAAATTGATGTTGAATTCCATGATAAACCTCAACATCACTTGAAATACACTCAAAGGTAGAAGTTTATATTTGCTTGGGTAAATAACTCAGGTTTGACTTAACATACCCTCCAAAGGTAACACTAAAAGAAGTGCTCCTTAAATGTTGGTTATGTGCCAGGTACTGTGCTGAGCAATTTGCAGGCATTGTCCTACGAAATCTTGCAGATAATCAAGTGATGAAAATATGTTTAAACCCACTTTGAAATTGTGAAAACTCCCATGAAATCTTTCAGATAACCGTGTGATGAAAATACGTTTAAACTCATTTTGAAATTGCGAAAACTAAAGCCTAGAGAAATTCAAGTAATTTACCCACTTTATCAATTAGCTTTTGTTGCATCATGGGCTTAAAACAATAACCAGTTTGTTTAGCTTGCTGTTGTGTGGGTCGCTGGGCTGGTTCTTTCCAGCTGGATCTGTGTTAGCTTCCTGGGCTGCCAGAACCAAGTTCCACGAAGTGGGTGGCTAAAACAATGGAAATTTATTTTCTCACAGTTTTGGAGGTTAGAAGTCTGAACCAAGGTGTTGGCAGGGTTGGTTCCTTCTGAGGGCTGTGAGGGAAGGGTCTGTTCCAGGTCTCTCTCCTTGGCTTGTAGATGGACGTTGTCATCTTCGCACAACATTCTCCCTGTGTCTGTGTCCACATTTTCCCTTCTTATGAGGTCATCAGTCATCACATAAGATTAGGGCCCACCCTAATGACCTCACTTCACCTTAATTCCCTCTTTAAAGACCCTATCTTCAGATAAGGTCACATTCTGAGGCACCGGACGTTAGGACTTGAACATGTGAATTTGGGCAGTGAGGGTGGGGCACAATTCAACCCACGACAGGAACTCATCATCTGGTCTCTGCTGGTGGTTTGGCAGGCAGCTGGATGATCTAGCACTGTCACGTTCATGTGTCCATTTGTTGGCAGGAAGTCAGCCAGTTGCCTCAGTTCACCTCCACTTGGATTCTCATCATCCAGCTGGCTGGTGAGGCCTCATACACGTGATGGGCTCAGGGCTGTAAGTGCAGCAAGAGAGGGAAGCCCCACTGGGCAAGCCTTTTCTAAGTCTCTGTTTGAATCCTGTTTGCTATGGTCCCATTAGCCAGAGCAAATCACAAGGCTAAGTCCAGAGTGAATATGAGAGAAGATCATTCAAGGGATGGATACAGCAAAGAGAATTATTGTGGCCTTCATTGGCAAATAATTTAATACCATGCTGGCATCTAGTTAGTGACTGGACTGCAATGGGAACCCAAGTCTGATGTTATGAAAATCCCTGCTTTTTACCAAAGAAGAATTGAAAATATTTTGGTGTGGTGAGAATGTGGTTAATAATATAGGTGATGTTTATAGCTTTTTTTCCTGGAACATCATTCATTCATTCATTATCTATTGAATGTTTGTAATGTACCAAACACTCTATTAGGTGCTAAAGATTCGAGTAGGTGAAAGACTTACCTATTCCTTGTCCCCATGGAGCTTACAGTCTAGAGGAGGAGAAAATAAATGAATGGACTTCACAGACACCTACAAAACTACAATTTGTGATAAATGCAATGAACAGGACCTGATCAGACATTCATTCATTTATCAAACAGTTATTGACCTCCCCTACATGCTATTTGCCAGGCACTGGCCTAGATGTGGGAATACAGAGGTGGACAAGAAAAATGTTATCCCTGTCCTCATGGAGGTTAGAATCGAATGGAGTAGAGAGACATTGAATAGGAGATAATAACCAGGATGTTGTATACTCTGAGACGGAAACAAAGGGGACCCACAAGTAGACGAGAGGCAAGCATATTTTACTCAGGGAAAACATCCTTTGGGAGGGGGGTCTTATGAAAGCTGAGACTTTTACGATGAATTGGAATTTGCTAGACCAAAAGAAGAGAAAAGGAAGAGGGAGAGGAAGGGAGGAAGGAAGAATGTAAGTAAGTTGAGAAGGGAGAAGAGAGTAAAGGTAGTATGTCTAATTGCCTGGGCGGAAGAGCCAGTATCACTCACTGCAGGAACCCAAAAAAGTGATAGGTGACAGAAATGTGGAGAGAACAGGGGAAAGCCTGACACAGAAGCAGCCAGAGAGATGGGCTGTATTCTTTCTCAATCTGACCCCAGCCACCCACACATTCCACCCATGTCTCCCTCTTTCTTGCTGCCTGTCCCACATTCCACAGTCTGAGGAATCCCTCATGTTAATTTTCTATTTGGGTGACAATTCATTTTGTGTCAATTGCTTCCTGAGTTCTTATCTCTTGCCTACCACACTCCATCCCCCACCTGTATACTTTATTAGGTCCCTGGACCCTGAGTCATACTAGAGGGTATTGGGAAAATTCAAAGGAGTTTGGGTTTCGAAAGTCGGGTCAAAATTATCCAGATGTATTACTGAAAGGCTACCTGGCTTTAGGCAAAGGACTTGCCCATTCTGAGTCTTATATGTCAAATGGGGATGAGAACGGTAACTTTAAGGAGTGACTGTGAGGATTAAATTACTTACCTTCTACAAAGTGTCTAGTCCTGTGTCTGGCATCTAATTAACATCGGCTCCCTTGGTTTTCCGTGGCGCCCTCTCACAGTGACATTAAAACATAATATGGGACCACCAGAAATACTAACTGCTGGATAATTGGCCTACCACATCTGCGAATAAAGGATGTGAGATGTATGCTGTGTTGCTTGTGGGTCTGAACAGGACATCTCTGCGTCAACACTTGACATAGTGAGTTTGCCGAGTTTTCACTTTCGGCTAGTCTACTCGGGCGTGAAGCCGTTGGGCAGATCATGTGGAAGAATTACAGGAAAAAAACAAAAAACAGGATTTTAAGGCTCAATTATGTTCAGGTAAGATCACAGTTCCTGGGATGAAGGGAAGGCAGATTTTTATTGGCTCTTGTAGGCCCTGCTGGGGGGTAGAAGTGCAAGGTTGTCAGAATTACACTGGCTTAGTTCACATGCCTCCTCGCCCCACAAACTGAATGAATTTCAGCAAGTTATCTAACTGAACTGATTCTCTCGTTTCTCACCTTTAAAGAGGAGTGTGACGCTACTAACCTCATAGCATTTTTCAGTGTGTGAAATGACAAAATTATCTTGCAAATACAGGTCGATAAGAAGATACGGGCATAACTACATGTCAACAGCTTGGAACCCATTCCGACAGATGTTCAAATATTTTTTTCACCTTCTCTGAATTGAGTACATGTGAGGGGAAACCGAAATTTTACCTATACTTTAAAAAATATTTTATTACTTTTAAACTTTTAGTTTTAGAATAATTGAAGACTCACAAGAAATTGCTAAAACAGTATAGAGAGATCCTGTGAAGGAGCCATCACCCAGTTTTCCCCAGAGAAACTGATTTCTGATGAATAAACATTCTTTGCAGAAACCAATTTGATTCTTGATTAACTTCTCACTAATGCCAAGGCCATGTGCTGGAGGAAAAATAAAAAGATGGCAAAGCCTGACCTAGCAAAGCCTGACCTAGCCTTGTCACCTTCCTAATGTTCTTGCTCTCTCCTCAGTTTTCTTTTTGAATTTTTTTGCAAAAAAATAATTTAGGTGATTAAAACAATCACTGATCCTGGGTCAGCATTTCAATACTGTGTAGTATTTTGTTTCATCCTTTCAGGCCGTGGTGACTTCCAAGTTCAGGTTCCTGTCACATTGCTGGTCTCAGGATGATGTCAAGGCCTGGGGTTAGGCCATGCAATTTACACATACATTCACTTCCCAAATACAAGTGTTCAACACCATCACGGTAGGTGTATGGTTTCTTTCATCAGTTCCTAGTTGAGGGTACTGTCTCCTGCAGTGGATCAAAATCCAAGTATTTTTTACAAATTATATGAGAGCTCCTGTGTGGAAGCCTGGGTTAATTAACACCAGCCTTTCTGATTTATTATAGTTTAGCACCTGTTTTTATCAGTGCTTCAGGCAGTTTGACTCCAGGCCCCTGAGAGGGGCTCACCTCATGCTAATTGCTTTTCCCTTCTCATCTCATATCCTCTCTCCTTCAGGAAACACGTTATGAGCCTCCTCCAATTAGCTATGGTCCCTCTTTCTCATCACACTAGCACTTTTGAAAGGGGAATCCTGGCATGAGCTTGTCATGTCCTCAGCCAGATTTCAGATGTGCTCAATATCACCTGGGTCTATCCTACCAGCTGGAAAATTTTCATGACTGCTAAGAAGGAGCTCTTGGGAAAAAGCTCAACAAATACACAGAGTTGACATTCAAACACATCCGGTCATGTCTGGGGAACTATAGCAGATGGGGTTGTTCCCATAGAATTCCATTCTCTCCATAAAGGGTCTTCAGGTATCCCCCACTTCCTTGCCCAAGCACCTTAACACATCCTACAAGAAGGCAGACCCTAAGATAGGTAG